CCATGGTTCTCCCCATTGGGCAGACTGGGAGCCAGGGCGACCCTAGATTGTGTCATGCATTCGTAGAGGGTGCGATCAAATCAAATTCAGACCTTCCTTAGGCCAAACCAGTTCTGCCCATCTTCGAGATTAGGGAAGTTGAGGCCTGTATTTCCGGTCCTCTTATAATCCGTGTCTCTTGTATCTTAGGTATGAATGCTAAACATGTTCTCAACCACAGCCAGAAGGCGAGGCTCTGTCTTTCTTCCTGCCCCCCCCCCACCCCTTTCCCCCTTCACCCCCCCTCTCCCCCAAAGTCTCCTCCTTTGGGCCTCCACCCCTATCTCCTTCCTGCTTCTCCCTCAACCAGTGGGGCCTGGGCTGTGATTGGTCAGTTGTGACCCTCTGGGTGCTGAGGCCCCGCCCAGGCCAAGTCCAGACATTGACCGGTCACCTTCTGCATAGAGTGTACCTGAATCCCTGGAGACCGCGGTCACCCCAGCCCCGCAGGCCCAGCCTCTAGGGGGTGAATCTGGTGTGTCCATGCCTGAGGGAAATGGAAAGAAATTGCTCCATGCCCTGCTGGGAATCTGCGTGTTTCTCAGGACTTGCTTCTTGGCAGCATTTGACACCTCCAGTCTTATCTCTGCCTCCGGTATTTTAGGCTGATAACCTAGGGTTTGAACTCAGATCCTTTGCCCTGGCCAGGAAGGTGCTTTACCACTTGAGTCATATCTCCCGTCCTTTTTTTCCCTTTGCTTTAGTTATTTTCTTTCCAATAAGTGTGGGGAGACCAGCCTGGACTGCGATCCTCCTATTTATGTTTGTTTCCCTGATCGTTGGGATGACAGGTTAGCAATGACATGCTAGCTTTTTAGTAGAGATGGGGTCTCCCTATTTGCCCTCACTGGCCTCAAATCCTCCCAATCCCTGCTTCCTGAATAGCCGGGATTACAGGCAGAAACCATTGTACTCAGTTTGACCTCTTGATGTTCTATCTAGAAAGGAAGAGGTGATATTGGAAATCGGTTTGCCTCTGGGGGTTTTTAATAACTTTTCCTCAGCCAAGATGAGTGGGTAGAGTTGTTTGGGCTTGTCAGACAAAGGAGGAGTTGGGTGAATGCTCCAGGGCCCTTCAATACTTCATTCAGTTCCTTAATTGAAACAAGAATGACTGGCCAAGCACCTCCAAAATACACACCAGCCTTGAAGACCCACAGACAGCCATGTCTTGGAAGAAGGATCAGGTCTGGAGTCTGCATGAAAGGCTGAGGCTTCTTCAGGGCCCTCTCTCCTCCCCATCCCCACTTTCATTCTAGAAAGATTCCCAAGGTGAAGAACTGCTGGACAGCTTCTCTCCACCTTGTTTCTGCTTCATTTGCTTGTTTCATAAGACTGTGAGATATATTTATTGATTGATTTATTTTTGTCGGTCATGGGGCTTGAGCTCTGGGCCTAAGCACTGTCCCTTAGCTCTTCAGCTCAAGGCGAGCGCTCTATCATTTGAGCCACAGTACCACTTCTTCCAGCCTTTCTTTGTATATGGTGCTGAGGAATTGAACCCAGGGCTTCATGCATGCTAGGCAAGCACTCTACCACTAAGCCATATTCCCAGCCTCAATCCTTTGTTTCTTGAGTCCTGTTTACTTTGTCATATCTCCTTGCATGTTGGATTTAACATCCACATATTAGGGAAATCATGTGCCATTTGTCTCTCTGCTCTTGGCTTACCTTGCTCAAAATGATTTGCTCTAGGTCCATCCATTTCCCTGCGAATGGCGTTATTTTGTCCTTTTTAATGGCTGCATAATATTCCATTGTATGTAGGTACCACACTTTTTGGATCCATTCATCTGTCATGGGGCATCTGGGTTGTTTCCGTATCTTGGCTATTATGAACAAGGCTGCAATGAACACATGAAACTCTTATCTCCAATTACCTACCAGAAAACCAGAAGTGGCGCTGTGGCTCTAATGGTAGAGTGCTAGCCTTGAGCTGAAGAGCTGAGGGACAGCGCCCAGGCCCAGAGTTCAAGCCCCACGACTGACAAAAAAAAAAAAAAAAAAAGCATGTGAGCATGTTCTGAGGTTCTCATCAAACCCAATCTGAGCTTTTCTAATTTCTCCATGACTCTGTGTGTGTGTGTGTGTGTGTGTGTGTGTGTGTGTGTTTGTGTTCTTCTCAAAACTGGTGCTCTGCTGCTTGAGCCATACCTCCACTTCCAGCTTCTGTTTTGCTATTTCATTCAAGATAAGAGTCTCACAGACTTTCCTGCCCAGGCTGGCTTTGAGCCATGATTCTCAGATCTCAGCCTTCCAAGTAGCTAGGATGACAGGCGTGAGCCACACGTACCTGGTTCTGTGTTTTTTGTTTGTTTGTTTAAACATCTGGGTCTTGACACCTTCCAGAATTCTCCAACTGAAACTCATAGGTGGGCCTCAGGATTATTATGCAGGGGACTCAGAGAAGATCTCCCACTTCACAGATGGGGAAACTGAGATTCAGAGAAGGGAAATGACTTTACCTAAAGTCACATGGAAAAGCTGGACCCAGGTTTCTCAGGCCTGGATGCCTGCCACCTCTTCAGCTTACTCGTTTTTTTTAAATTTCCGGTGACTCAGGAAGCTGCAAACCCTCTTCAGAGCTCAGTCCGGATGCCCCGCCCCACCCCACCCCACCCTGGGTTTTTTGTTTTTGTTTTTGGCCAGTCCTGGATCCTGAGTTCAAACTCAGGGCCTGGGCACTGTGTCTCAGCTTCTTGGCCTCAAGGTTAACACTCTACCCTTTGAGCTACAGCTCCAATTTCAGCTTTTTGGTTTGGGTTGGTTTTGGTTTGGAAGTTAATTGGAGGTAAGAATCTTGCAGACTTTCCTGCCCAGGCTGGCTTTGAACTCCAGTCCTCAGATCTCAGCCTCCTAAGTAGCTAGGTGGAGCCTTCAATGCCTAGCTCCTTATATGCCTTAAAACACATACACACACACACACACACACAAACATTGGGGCTGGGAAGGTGGCTCAGTGGTAGAGTGCTTGCCTCACATGCATGAGGCCCTGGGTTCGATTCCTCAGCACCACATAAGCAGAAAAAGCCGGAATTGGCGCTGTGTTTCAAGTGGTAGAGCGCTAGCATTGAGCTGAAGAGCTGAGGGACAGCGCCCAGACCCAGAGTTCAAACCCCAAGAACAACAACAACAACAACAAAACAAACTTTGTTTGATTATTTGAGATAGGGTCTTGCTGTGTTGCTGAAGCTGGCCTTAAACATGTGGTCCTCCTGTCTCAGCCTCCCAAGTATCAGGATTATAGCTGTATGTAGCCAAGCCCAACTGTGACCATGTCTTTTTTTGTTTTTGTTTTTTATGCCAGTAACTCAGTGCCCAGCCTGAGTACTCTCCCTGAGCTTTTTTTGTTGTTGTTGGTCGTGGGTCTTGAACTCTGGCCTTGGGCACTGTCCCTACGCTCTTCAGCTCAAGGCGAGCATTCTACCCTTGAGCCACAGTGCCACTTCTGGTTTTCTAATGGTTTTTATTGGAGATAAGAGTCTCATGGACTTTCCTGCCCGGGCTGGCTTTGAACCGCGATCCTCAGACCTCAGCCTCCTGAGCAGCTAGGATTACAGGCGTGAGCCACCAGCGCCCAGCTCTCCCTGAGCTTTTTATGCTCAAGGCTAGCATGCTGCCACTTGAGCCACACCACCACTTCCAGTATTTTTTTTGTTGGTTCATTGGAGATCAGAGGCTCACAGACTTTTCCTGTCCAGGCTGGCCTCAAATCGTGATCCTCAGATCTCAGCCTCCTCTGAGTAGCTAGCATCACAGGAGTGAGCCCAGCAGCGCCTGGCTTGTAATCATGTCTGAAACCTCTTAGTGCCTCAGTTTCCTCACTTGTAATAACCAGAGGGCCTCACAGTGCTTTCTGAGAGGAGCTCAAAACCTTTTTGGAATCATCTAGTAAAATGACTAGATTCCTATTGACACCTGACAGGGCAGGAAATGGGAGGGGGGAGGGGGAAGCGGGGAGGGGAAGGGTTGAGACTGGAATGCAAGCCTTCTGGCTCCTCTGAAAACATTACCCAGATTCAACAGGTCCCATGAGGGCCAGAGACAAGCATCTGCATTTATCTCCCTCCTTCTTCCAGTCCAGGGTAGAGGAGCTGGCTTAACTGCCTCCCCTCTCCTCCCTCCCAGCCACTGAGAAAATTTGGGGGTACCAGAGGCTCTGAGATTCCTTCACTTTGACACAGACTCACACATGCCAGGCTCTGGTCCTAGCACTGTGGGGAGGAGGGAGAAGAGCAGATTATTCTAGAAGACTTTTGTTGTTGGTGGTGGTGGTGGTTGTGGGACTTGAACTCAGGGCCTGGGCGCTGTCCCTGAGCTCTTTTGTGCTCAAGGCTAGCGCTCTTACCGCGTAGAGTCATGGTGCCCCTTCCGGTTTTCTGGTGTGGTTCATTAGAGATCAGAGTCTCACAGCTGGCTTGGAACTGTAATCCTCAGCTGTCGGCCTCCTGAGTAGCTGAGATTACAGGCATGAGCCACTGCACCCAGCTTTCCACCCCTCATCTTTAAGCTGAATATGTTCACATTTCCTCAGATGTTTGTGTAGGAAGGAGTTTCTGGTGCATGCTGGATCCCAGTTTCCTGTCATTAAACAGAAGCCACCCTGTGACAGAGTTCAAGCCCAGAAAGTTCTAGCTTGAGCTGCCTCAGCACCCTATGACACTGAAGGGAACTTGGCTAGAAGCTGGGGTAGCCACAGGCCCGGAAGGAGGCTTGGTGACTGAATTAGGGGTTTGGATGCAGAAGGTCCAGACACTTTTAAGGAGAAGGAAGAGAGGGAAAAGGAGAATCCATGGATGGAAGCTGGAAGTAGACTGCAGGGAGCTGGCCTCGAACTCCTGCTCCAGACATGTTCCCAGGCCACTAGGGATCACGTCAGGCAATGGCAGAGGCACACGGGCCCCAGCAGGGCCTCCCATCACCTTCGAACCCTCACCTCCTGGTTGTCTCCTTTCTTCCAGAGGCACCAAGAAGCCAGCCGGCCACCCCACCCAGAACCACAGGAACTGAGTCCGCTTCACAAGGATGCGGGTGAGTGTGTAGCCAATCCCGTGGATGCCCCCACCGACCACAGGACCCATCCCAGAATGAACAACATTGATAGTGCTACTTACAGAGCTCATGAAAGAGCTGGGAATGTAGCTTCGTGGTAGAGTGCTTGCCCAGCATGCATGAAGTCCTGGGTTCGATTCCTCAGCACCACATGCACAGAAAAAGCTGGAAGTGGTGCTGTGGCTCATGTGGTAGAGTGCTAGCCTTGAGCAAAAGAAGTTCAGGGACACTGCTCAGGCCCTGAGTTCCAATTCTAAGACTGACAAAAAAGAGAGAGAGAGAGAGCTCATGAAAGCCAAGTTGCAGATACACTTGTAATCCTAGCTACTCAGGAAGCTGAGATCTGAGGATCATGGTTCAAAGCCAGCCAGGGCAGGAAAGTCTGTAAGACTCTTGTCTCCAGTGAACTTCAAATAGTTGGAAATGGAGCTATAGCTCAAAGTGGTAGAGTATTAGCCTTGAGCACAAAAACAAAGGGACAGTGTCCTGGCCCTGAGTTTAAGCCTCAGCACTGATGGTAATAATAAAGATGATAATTGATGATGATGATGATGATGATGATGATGATGATGATGATGATGAAGACCGGAGCACCAGTGGCTCATGCCTGTAATTCTAGCTACTTAGAAGGCCAAGATCTGAGGATCATGGTTCGATACCAGCCCAGGTAGGAAAGTCTATAAGACTCTTACCTCCAATTAACTACCAGAAAACTGGAAGTGGATCTGTAGCTCAAAGTGGTAGAGTACTAGCCTTGAACTAAAAAGCTCAGGGATAGCAATCCAGGCCCTGAGTTCAAGCCCCACAACTGAAAACAAAAACAAAACGAACAAACAAAATACAATGGTTTTCTCCAAGACTCTGGTGCCCTACTGGAGAAGAAAAATGGAGCTTTGTTCTGGGTGTCCCTGAGCTGACTATGAGAGCCTCAAGACTGGAGCAGCAGGTAGAGCAAATGTAGCCCAATCTCAAAAGAATGGTTGTGTGCTGGCTGCTTGCCCACCCTTGGCACTACCTTATGATAGAATGAATACCCCGCCCCTCAAGTGTTCTGTTACAGCCAAGAGGCCATGGGTGATAGCAGAGATGAACAAACTGAACCAGAATTGTGAGGTTCACCCATCTGCTATATAGCACAATTATCGAGGACATCAAAGAGACCAAGATCCTAGGGACCCATCACTGATCACTCCATGAGTGGGAGTGAAGAATCTGTATTATTTTTAGTAAGGTCATAAGTACTTTTATGGATGTGCATGTGCTGGTACCTACTGATGCTTAAATTCAAGGCCTTGTGCATTTTTTTTTCTTACCAGTCCTGGGGCTTGAACTCAGGGCCTGGGCTTCTTTTGTTTAAAGCTAGTGCTCTACCACTTGAGCCACAGAGCCACTTCCAGCTTTTTATGTGTATGTGGTACTGAGGAATTGAACCTGGGGCTTCATGTGTAGTAGGCAAGTACTCTACCACTAAGCCATATTCCCAGCCCTGGCCTCGTGCTATTATTGGCCTTTTCTGCTCATTTCTTTTTTTGTTTGTTTGTTTTTTTGTTGGTCGTGGAGCTTGAACTCTGGGCCTGGGTGCTGCTCCTGAGCTGAAGACTAGTGTTCTACCACTTGAGCCACAGCACCACTTCTGGTTTTCTGGTGGTTCATTGGAGATAACAGTCTCATAGACTTTCCTGTCCAAGCTGGCTTTGAACTGTGATCCTTAGATCTCAGCCTCCTGAGTAGCTAGGATTACAGGCATGAGCCTCTGGTGACCAGCTTTTTTGCTCATTTCTGTGTTGCTCTATCACTTAAGCTACACCTCTGACTTTTTGGTAGTTAATTGGAGCTGAGAGTCCCACAGACTTTACTGTCTGGGCTGTCTTCAAACTTTGATGGTCAGATCTCAGCCTTCTGAGAGGCTAGGATTACAAGCATGAGCCTCCAGCACCTGAGTCATTATCAGGTTTTAGTTACTACTGTTTTCTGATTGATTGCATAATCTCATTAGTGCAATTATTACCCCCAGTGTCACACATTAGCAGCTCTTGCGGCATATAGCTGGGCATGTCATAGACTCCTTTAATCTCCATCACTAGGGTCCAACTTGAAGTTTCTCTAAGCCAAGGATATACTTCCAGAAGTGGTCTCCTTCTTGCACACAGGCAGCTCCTGACTTCAGCTGGGAGATGGCAAAGGTCAGGGGAGGCATAAGAGGTATTCATAGGCCTTCTGTGGCCCCAAAATATGCATCATAGGGGGCTGGGAAGGTGGCTCAGTGGTAGAGTGCATGCCTTGCATGCCAGAGGCCCTGGGTTCGATTCCTCAGCACCACATAAGCAAAAAGAAAAAAGCCGGAAGTGGTGCTGTGGCTCAAGTGGTAGAGCGCTAGCCTTGAGCTGAAGAGCTGAGGGACAGCGCCCAGGTCCAGAGTTCAAGCCCCATGACCAGACCCAAAAAACAAAACAAAATATGCATCATAGGTATATTTGGGTGCGCATGCACACCAACGCTGTGGCTTGAACTCAGGGCCTCATCATATTCTTGCTTTGCTTTTCCACAGCTTTTTGCTAGTTAATTAGAGATAAGACTTTTCTGCCCAGGCTTTGATCCATGATCCTCAAATCTCAGCCTCTTGAATAGCTAGGAATCCAGACATGTGCTACTAGTGCCTGTTTTTACGTTCTTATCTCCAGCCACAACTGTCCAGCTGTGTGTGTCGGAGGAAGTCCAACAGCATGAGATGGACATAGCCAGAATTCTCCAGCGGCATGAAGAAGAGAAGACGAAATGGGCTCAACAGGTAAAGGCCCGGCAATCTCTGGCCAGCTACTTTCCTCTGAGAATTCCAGAGGAGACCCGACTTTGAATTTTGCTGTAAGCATCACTAACCCCTTTTTCCAAGAAGAATTGAATTCTTTTATTTATTTATTTATTGGTGCCAGTCCTGGGGCTTGAACTCAGGGCCCGGGCACTGTCCCTGAGCTCTTCAGCTCAAGGATAGTACTGTACCACTTGAGCCACAGCGCCACTTCCAGTTCTCTGGTGGTTAATTGGGGATAAGAGTCTCACGGACTTTCCTGCCTGGGCTGGCTTTGATTGTGATCCTCAGATCTCAGCCTCCTGAGTCGCTAGGATGACAGGCGTGAGCCCTTGTACCCGGCTGTGAGACTCGTATTTCCAGTGAATCAGTCTGCCTCGACTGAAGTCTTCCTCTCTCTCTGGCCATCTTTCCCCTCATTGAAGGAGGATGAGGGGGGAAGGCATTGATCATCAAGCTCTGTATCAGGCGGGGTGTGACAAAATGGCTGCCAGGTGCTGTGCAAATCTCCTAAGTCTTACTCCTGCTCTGGATGCTTCGCCCCTAGGTGGAGAAGGAGAGGGAGCTTGAGCTTCAAGAGAGGCTGGATGAGCAGCGAAGTGCCCTGGAGGAAAAGCATGAAGAAACCCTGCAAGGTAAGGGTAGAGCCCTCTCCCGGGGAGGCCCCGCCTCCTGTGCTACCTGCTGTGGTTACCTGGTCACCTGGGCTATCCTGTGACCCTCTTCTCCTACAAGCAGTCAGCTTTGCCAAACCTGGAGTGTATGTACAGAGTCCTTGGCTCTAAAAGGACGATAGAATTTTCCTTTGGAGCATGACTGAAGGAAAGAAGGAAGGAAAGAAGGAAGGAAGGAGAGCAGAGGAGAGAAAGAGAGAAGGAAAGAATTACATGGTCTTGTGCTATAGCCCAAGCTGTCTTTGAACCTGCATTCCTCTCGCTTCAGCCTCCTGAATACTGGGATTACAGGTGTGTGTCATGATTTGGGTGATGGCATGATTTGCTTCATCTTATTAGAAAGAGTTGTTTTTTTTTTTTTGGGGGGGGGGGTTGTTGTTCCCCAGAGAGTGCATTTATAATTTCAGAAATTTAGATATGATCTTAGAAACAGGAAGTCTGCTATAATTTGAATTTATACCATAATTCAAAAGTTTAAGTATGCTAAGCACTGGTGGCTCACACCTGTAATCCTAGCTGCTCTGGAGGCTGAGATCTAAGGATCACAGTTCAAAGTCAGCCTGGGAAGGAAAGTCCATGAGATTCTTATCTCCAATGAACTATCAGGAAGCCGGAAGTGGCACTGTGGCTCAAGTGGTAGAATACTCGCCTTGAGCTGAAGAGCTCAGGGACAGCGCCCAGGCCCAGAGTTAAAGCCCCCCAAACAACAAACAAACAAACAAACAAATAAATAAACAAAGTATATTTTCTCCATTACTTTTTTGTGTGTGCCAGTCCTGGGGCTTGAACTCAGGGCCTGGGCACTGTCACTGAGCTTTTGCTCAAGGATAGCACTCTACCACTTGAGCCACAGAGCTACTTCTGGCCTTTTCTGTTTACATGGTACTAAGGAATTGAACCCAGGGCTTCATGCATACTAGGCAAACACTCTACCACTAAGCCACATTCCCAGCCATCCATTATTTCTTAAAAACAAGCAATTTGAAAGATCCAGCCAGGTAACTTCAAAAGATGTATCACTACTGGGCACAGTAGCTCAAGCCTGTAATCCTAGCTACTCAGGAGGCTGAGATCTGAGGTTTGCGTTCAAAGCTAGCCTGGGCAGAAAAGTCTTCATGAGACTCTAATCTCCAATTAACCACTCAAAAATCAAAATGGTACTGTGGCTGTTCCTCTTCCTCTTTCTTCCCCTCCTTCTTAAAATACTTGAGTTTGGGCTCAAGACCTTATACTCGAGAGGCAGGTGCTCTACCACTTGGTCCACTCCTGGAGTCGAGTATTTTGCTGGTTAATTGGAGATGGAGTCTAGAGACCTTTTCTGTCCCAGCTGGCTTTTGTTGTTGTTGTTATTGATGGTCGTGGGGCCTGAACTTGGCCTGGGCGCTGTCCCTCAGCTCTTCAGCTCAAGGCTAGCGCTCTACCACTTGAGCCACAGCGCCACTTCCGGCTTTTTCTGCTTATGTGGTGCTGAGGAATTGAACCCAGGGCCTTATGCATGCTAGGCTAGCACTCTACCACTGAGCCATCTTCCTAGTCCATCTTCTCTAGTTGGCTTTGAAACTTAATTCTCCAGAGCTTAGCCTCCTGAGCAGCAAGAATTACAGAAATGAGCCACCCTGTCTGGGTTTGGCTTTGAACTCTTGACCCTCCTAGCCTCACAGGTGTGAACCACCACACCTGCTCCTTTGTGGTTTTGATTTGCAGTTCTCTAATGACTCAGTTGTTAAGCATCTTTTTTTAACAAGCTTGTTGGGAGTTTGTATAGCTTCTTTTGGGATGGGATAGAGAGATGATACATGGATGATAAATAGATGATAGATAGAGATAATATTGAAATCAACCTTGAAAATGCTATATTGATTTTTCCTCCTCATCATTTGGTTGATCTTTCCTCAGAAATCACTTTTCTTTTCTAAAAACACACTTGTGGCCCATGCTGGTGGCTCAAACCTGTAATCCTAGCTACTCTGGAGGCTGAGATCTGAGGATCGCAGTTCAAAGCCAGCCAGGGCAGGAAAGTCCTTGAAACTCTTATCTCCAAGAAACTACTCAGAAAAAGCCTGAAGTGGTGCTGTGGCTCAGGTGGTAGAACACTAACTGGCTTTGAGTAAAATAAGCTCAGGGACAAAACTAAAGAAATAAACAAACCCACAATGTGCTTATGATCATTTTCTATAGATTTCCAACAGGCAATGAAAAGGATTAACATGCTGTTCTTTTCTTTTAAATTGTATCAAACTTGTTTCCAAGTATGTGGCCACAAACATGCTAATAAAGGCAAGCCTTCTAAGCCACACCTCACTCCTTCTTGAGTCCTGTGAGTCTAAATGTTTACATTTTAGCTACTGTGAATAGCATTGTATTTCACATGAGATCAATTCCCTGAAACTGAGTAATTAGAACAGAGGTCTGAACTATTAGAAGAATCTTGAAACATATTGCCACATGAGCACAAAACATTTTGAAACAGAACTGAAGTCCTTACTGGGAACTTGAAGGACTGTATTTGAATTACTAATACATCCTGTTGAAAACTACTGATCAGCCTGGTGCTGGTGGCTCACACCTGTCATCCTAGCTACTTAGGAGATTGAGATCTGAGGATCGAGGTTTGATGCCAGCCTAGGCAAGAAAGTTCATGAGCCTCTTACCTCCAATGAAACACACACACACACACACACACACACACACACACACACACACACACACGCACACACACACACACACACACACACACACACACACACACACACACACACACACACACACACACACACACACCCCAGAAGTGTGTGTATGGAATAGATGAATGAAATCATAGCTTGGAATAACCTTTGTTATCTTTTCTAGGTTTTGTTTTTATTTTCTATGGTTCAATTATGCCACCAGGAAATTGATTTTCTATGTACAGCATTATTTATCTAGTCAGCCATCCTTGCAATCAGGATCTAAAACAGTTGACCGTGCCCCCAAATTTTTGCTGCTTATTTTGGCTGAGCTCTACGGCTTGAGCTATGTCTCCAGATTGACATTTGGCTCATCATTTTGGAGATGGAACCTCACAAACTTTTCTGCCGAGGCTGGCTTCTTACCATGATCCTCTGGATCTCAGACTCCTGAGTAGGTCGAATGACAGGCTTGAGCCACCAGCACCTGGCTTATAAATATGACTTTTTATATTGGCTTCTTTTTCTCATGTGATGCATCTGAGATTCAAGTTGTTGCTTAGTGCAGTGATGGATTGTTTCTCATTGCTGTGTATTTACTCACTTGCTTAGTGCAGTTCTTTGGAAGGGTTCCCAGCTTGAGGTGATTAGGAATAGAGCTATTCTAGTTTGTAATGTACAAATTTGTGTGTGGACATTAATGTTCATTTCTCTGGGAAAAACACATAGCAGAGAATAACTCATGTAATACGGCATGGGTATCTTCTTAAAAAAACAACTGAATCACTGGGTGCTGGTGGCTCACGCCTGTAATCCTAGCTACTCAGGAGGCTGAAAGTTGAAGGATTGTGGTTCAAAGCCAGCCAGCAGGCAGGAAAGTCCATGAAACTCTGATCTCCAGGGAACCACCAGAAAACCAGAAGTGGCGCTGTGGCTCAAGTGGTAGAGTGCTAGCCTTGAGCTGAAGAGCTCAGGGACAGTGCCCAGGCCCAGAGTTCAAGACCCATGACCAAGCAAATAAATAAATAAACAAACAAACAAACAACGGAATCATTTTCCAGAGTGGCTACTACCTAACACCAGCAAGGATAAATCTCTTCACTCTGCCAACTTTGTTTTGTTATTGTAGTTGTTGAGTGTGTGTGTGTAGGTCCTGGAGCTTGAACTCAGGGCCTGAGCACTGTCCCTTACCTTTTTTTGCTCAAGGCTAGCACTCAACCACTTAAGCCACAGTACCACTTCCAGTCTTGCTGGTTAATTGGAAATAAAGAGTCTCATGTACATTCCTGCCTGGGCTTGCTTTAAACCACAATCCTCAGATCTCAGCCTCCTGAGTGGCTAGGACTATACCAGTGCCTGGCTCCATAAGCTTTTGTGTGTGTGTGTGTGTGTGTGTGTGTGTGTGTGCACATGCGCACGTGCATGTGCTTCCAGTACTACAGATTGAACTCAGTCCTCTCACTTTCAGGTACTGTTTTGTTGTTGTTTTTCAGATAAAGTAACACTTATTCCCTAGCTGGCTTTGGATTATGATCTTTCTACCTCCATCTCCTAAATATCTGGGATAACAGACCTCAACCATCACATCAGGCTTATTGCTAGAAATGGAGGCTTCACCTTTTTTTTTTTTTTCCCTTATCTTGAACCTTGATTCTCCCACCTCCACCTCCTATATAGCTGGGATTGCAGGCATGTGCCACCACACTAAGCTAATGCTTGGGATATTTTTTTTGGCACAGCTCCTAAAACAAGCCTAGGAGATCAAAAGGTAGATATGACTGTGCCTGACTCCTGGCCCTTAGGGATCCTTTTCTAGTCCTTAGGGGACTTTCCAGAAGGCTTGGGAGGAAAAGAACCTGAGCTTATGGAGGTCTCCTTTCCCCCACAGTCCTCCGGGCCTCCTATGAGAAGGAGAAAGAAGCCTTTACCCACTCCTTCCAGGAGGCCAAAGCTGCCCTTCAGGTGAGAAAGGCTGGGCCATAGCCGTGTCCGGTGTGGGTAGGGAAGAATGGAAGGGAATCCAGGTAAAGCTGATGGCCTTGGGGAATGAGGGGCCTTCCATGTGTTCAAGCCCCTGGCCTTGGGGACCTCATGTTAGCTTGTAAGGACATGAGCTTTGCCATCAGGTTGGCCTACAGACCCAAGGACTGCTGGTAGATGCCCAGTGCTTTGTGAAAGCATAAAAGCAGATGCAGCCGGGCGCCGGTGGCTCACGCCTGTCATCCTAGCTACTCAGGAGGCTGAGATCTGAGTGGTTCAAAGCCAGCCTGGGCAGGAAAGTAGCCTGTGAGACTCTGATCTCCAATAAACCACGAGAAAACCAGAAGCGCCACTGTGGCTCAAGTGGTAAAGCGCCCAAGCCCAGAGTTCAAGCCCCATGAGTGACAATAAAAAGCAGATGCTTAACCCAATGTGCCTACTCAGCAGAGAATTGGAGCAAGGTGGGGATCAGAACTGGGGCTTGACAGATGGATTAGAAATCTCAGGACAGGCAAGGTCTCCTGAGGAGATGAATGCACTTTGTACAAAAAGCATGGTGGAGGGGTTGGGAAGGTAGCATGCCTTGCATGCATGAGGCCCTGGGTTCGATTCCTCAGCACCACATAAGCAGAAAAAGCCAGAAGTGGTGCCATGATTCAAGTGGTAGAGTGCTAGCCTTGAGCTGAAGAGTTGGGGGACAGCACCCAGGCCCAGAGTTCAGGCCCCACAACTGACCAAAAAAAGCCTGGTGGAGGCTGGGCTCTGGAGGTTCACGCCAATAATCTTGGCTACTCAGGAGGCTGAGATCTGAGGATTACCATTCAAAGCCAGCCATCCTGGGTAGAAAAGTCCATAAGACTTATTTTCAATTAGCCAGGAAAGTCAGAAATGTTAGTGTGGTTCAAGGAGTAGAGCACTACCATGGAGTCCAAAAGCTAAGGGGCAAGCACAGAGGGCCCTGAAATCAAACCCCAGTACCAGCATTAAACAAACAAACAAAAAAGAAGACAAAACAAAACCAAGCACCTTGCATTTAGGCAGTGACCTGTTTGCCCGCTGTTAGCAGCAGACACTGGCAAAGTTCACTGGGTCTGGCATGGAAGGGCTTTGAATGGCAGGCTAACACTGGCCTTTGCGCACCAGGACCCCATCCTCCTAGGGGTCTAGGGGACCCTCAGAGGTAGGATTGGGATGTTTGACGCTGGTTGAAGTGAGGGCAAACCTGAATGGTTGTGTAGGGTAGACCAGATGCATTGAAATGTGTTTTTCCAATGGCTGCGTAGGGTAGACCAGATGCATTGAAATGTGTTTTTCCGTGCTGTCCACCTTGATGAACCAGGCTCTGGCCACTTCCCTCCTCCTGTCTCCTTCTCCAGGACACCATAGCCAGACTAACCTCACAGCTGGAGGCCTTTCAGGCCAAGATGAAGAGGGTAGAGGAGTCCATTCTAAGCCGGGACTATAAGAAGTACATCCAGGTAGGGAGTTGAATAAACTTGCAGGCCTGTCCTCCTTGAAGATCCTGGGAAGTCAATCTTCCTTGAAGTCCAGGCTTCTACCTGTTATTCTGGCCTTCCCAGGGGCTTAGAAGCAAGATGGTCCTCGTTCTGTTGGAGGGGGAGGGGGTAAAGGAGTAGATACGGCTCAGAGAGAGGCATGTGAGCTAGGAATAGTCACAGCTTCTCTTGGTTCAGACAGAAACTAAGCACAAATAGCAAACTTACCGCTTAGCTTGGACTAAGCAGCTGAACTACAGAGTCCTCACTGTGACAAATCCAGGGCCTACCCAAAGGACTTTGGATCTGAGACAATAAAGCATAGTAACTGGGCGTGGTGGCTCACGCCTGTAATCCCAGCAACTCAGGAGGCTGAGTATCTCGATTTGAAACCAACTTGGATGGAAAAATTTGTGAGATGGTGAGACTCTTATCTCCAAATGAACCAGAAAAACAACCAAATGTGGAGCTGTGGCTCAAGTAATAGAGCACCACTCTTGAATAAAAAAAACTAAGTGATAGCACCCAGGCCCTGAGTATAAGCCTTAGTACTAGCACACACACACACACACACACACATCCACAATGGCAAAGCATAGTGAGGAAGATTACTTGTATGTATCCAACACTATGGAAAGATAGCCACGCCCTTTGTCTACCCTCCAGCCTTATGAGGTCTCTCTGTGTCTCTGTCTAGGATTATGGGAGCCCCAGCCCATTCTGGGAACAAGAGGTGGAGAGCTTGCACTTTGTCATCGAGATGAAGAATGAGCGGATTCATGAGCTAGACAAGCGGCTGATGCTCATGGAAACAGTGGTCTGTGGCTGGGAGTGAGTGGCTGGGGGAGGGGTTGGGGGAGGGGGATGAGCATCTCCTTTGTAAAGTGTGTACAGTGGCCCCCAGCTGGGTCCACAGCAACCTGAAACTGCCAACCGAGCCATGCAGAACATTTGAGCTGATCTGTGACTGGTGTGGGTCAGGCAGTCAGAAGCCACCTTGTCATGTAGATCCAGAGCTTTCCTTGGCTGCTCCTGCCATGCTGAGGGAGGGGGCCTGACCCCGCTAATCTGGGGCAGCTGGCAGGTGTCATATGAGAGGCAGAGACTGAGGAAAGAGGTGAGGTTGAAAGACCAAGCAGGTATAGGGGGCTGAGGGCATTGAGGATCTGGTGACTTTGTCTCCAGGAGAACAAAGTTCTCAGCACCCAAGGGTAGAATCCAAACAGATTGTGTCACTGTGGATGGAGTCTTCTGCTCTGCTGCTGTGTGCCACAGAACTTCAAACGATCTCCAATGTTCCCCATAAGGGGGGGTGTGTGTTTGTGTGTGTGTGACTGTGTGTGTGTGTGTGTGTGTTGTCCGGTTTTTGGCTTTTTGTGTTTTGTGTTCTTTCTTTATTTATTTATTTTTGGGTCTGGTCGTGGGGCCTGAACTCTGGGCCTGGGCGCTGTCCCTCAGCTCTTCAGCTCAAGGCTAGCGCTCTACCACCTGAGCCACAGCGTCACTTCCGGCTTTTTTTTTTTTTCATTTTGCTTATGTGGTGCTGAGGAATCGAACCCAGGGCCTCGAGCATGCAAGGCAAGCGCTCTACCACTGAGCCACCTTCCCAGCCACTTGTGTTTTCTTTATTAATTCTTTTTTCCTTTCTTCCTTTCTTCCTTTCTTTCTTTCTTTTTTTTCTTCCTTCCTTCCTTCCTTCCATCCTTCCTTCCTTCCTTCCTTCCATCCTTCCTTCCTTCCTTGTCAGTTGTATGGCTTGAACTCAAGGCCTGGGTGCTGTCCCTGAGATTTTGTGCTCAAGGGTAGTACTTTATCACTTACAGCAACAGCTCTACTTCCAGTTTTCTGATGTTTATTTGGAGATCAGAGTCTCATGGACTTTCCTGCCTCAGGCTTGCCTCTAACCACATCCTCAGATCTCAGCCTCCTGAGTAACTAGGATTACAGTCATGAGCACCTGATTCTCTCTCTCTCTCTCTCTCTCTCTGTGTGTGTCTGTCTGTCTGTCTGTGTGTCTGTATGTGCTGATGCTAGGGCTTAAACTAAGGGCCCTAAGCTCTTCTTTGGCTTTTTTTGTTCAGGATTTATGTCCTACCACTTGAGCCACAGCTCCACTTCTGGTTGTTTGCTGGTTAATTGGAAATAAGAATCCGAAGGCCTTTTCTGCCCTCCAAGGCTTTGAATTACAATCCTCAGATCTCAGCCTCTTGAGTAAGCTAGGATTACAGGCAGGAGCCACCAACACCTTTAAAAAATTTTTTTTCTCCTATAACGAAACGAAAAGTTTGCAGTCATAATAACTCTTTAGTTTTCTTTTTAGGTTATCTGAATTCTCCATGAAATGTAACATCTAGTCTAGGAGGAATTTTGTGTTCAGGGCCCACAGATAAAAAGAGAGGTGTCACACGCACTGTGCCATGGGGGTTGAATAGCTTTCTGAGCTCATGCTGGTTTGTTGCAGAAAGAAAAAAATCTGATGTTAGAGGAAAAAATCACCACTCTGCAGCAAGAGAACGAAGACCTCCACGTCCGAGCTCGGAACCAGGCAATGGTGTCAAGGTAGCTGCCATTCCAAACCCCACCTCCACCCCTGATCTTCCTCCCTACCCACCCCCCACCTCTGTTGCCAAAATCTCCAGCTGGGAGTATCTCAGAAGGATCAGAGATAACAGAAGGGACCAGGCCTTTCTAAGACCTAACATAATGCCAGGCACTGGTGGCTCACGCTTGTAATCCTAGCTACTCAGGAGGCTGAGATCTGAGGATCACAGTTTAAAGCCAGCCCAGGCAGGAAAACCGTGAGACTCATGTCTCCAGTTAACCATCAGAAATCCAGAAGTGGCTCTATGGCTCAAGTTGTAGAGCACTCACCTTGAGCTGAAAAGCTCAGAGACAGCATCCAGGCCCAGAGTTCAAGCCCATAGTGCTTGGTCCAGAATTTGAATGGCATCCAAGCAAAAAGGGGGAGGGATTCTGGAGAAATCTCAGGAAGACTTTTTAGGGAACCCTCTCCTATCCCTCATACCCAGTATACAACCCCGAACTTGTCTATCTCCACAGGCAGCTCTCGGAAGATCTGCTTCTAGCCCACCAAGCCCTGGAGGAAGAGACACGGATCAGGCGACAACTAGAACAAGAGAAAGAGGAACTGGTGTACCGGGTTCTGGGGGCTGATGCGCCATCTACCTACCCCCGGGCCTCTGTTACCCCCACAGAAATCTCCTTCCTCGCCACCTAGCAGGCAGGACTTAGGCCAGCCATGACACCTGTGGCCATGCAACTTCCTTCCAAAGAGAAGACAGTGGGGCCTGTCAGCTTTTTTCTCAGGAAGGAGCGGGACAGGGTGTACAGGGGAATCTGGGAATAAGCATACCCAAGGAGCCTTGGGAGCCTGGGGTCACAGGAAACCACCTCTGGGGGGAGCTCATCCATTTGTCCCAGGGAACAAGCAAGAAGAGCCTTTTCCTCCCAGCCCCCTCTTGCTGCCCAAATCAGGTCGTTCTGAGGTCACCCCTGCACCTGACAAAGAGGCGACAACCCCAGCTCCAGCTTGTCAGCTTGGCTGTCTATGTGCCAGCTTGTCAGTTTCCTCTCAGTCTCAGTTTACCCCTGCTCTAAGAGAGTTGAGGTTGACTGTCCATTGACTCAAGTCACTCCAGGATCTTCTGAAGATCAGCCTGGGAGTGAGAGGGGGGAGTTCCACATCCTGGGCCTCAGAATAGAAAGGTGAGTGACAGAGAGGCTGACCCTTGCAGCCATTCCAGCCTGGAACCAATCTGGATGCCAGATTGGTCAGCTCAGGGGGCAGTAGCCACGCCCCCACTGCCTGCGCCAGGTCTGGATTGGCCCCCAACCTTCTGACTCCTCCAGTCTTAGAGACAGCTGGACTGAGGGGCCACATTAGTGGGATGGAGAACTCTCAACGGGCTGAGCTGAAATCTCATCTTTGTGTAGATAAGGAGAGCAAAGTACAGACTCTACCAAGTCAAGACCGGGGCCTCCTCTGCCCTACTGGTCTTCTCCCTCTGCTTATTTTCTTCCAGGCCCTGGGAAGGTCAATCTGACCTAGTCTTTGTCCACCTTCCTCCACCTACCAGCCTGCCCTGTAGTCTTTGTCCTACCCTTATTCAGTGCCTTCTTCTCCTCCAGCCACCTGACCCCAGGGCCCTGGACCATGGGCTCTTAGCTTCTCTCCATCAGTGAATAGGGATGGTGGCAGTGGCTGACCTCTCAGTCTGTGGATTTCAGATCCTTCTCAGGAACTTCAGGTCAGCTGGAGATTGTAATTACCCTTCTTCCTGCCCAGAGCATTGTCATCCATGGTGGCTCACGCCTGTAATCCTAGCTACTCAGGAAGCTGAGATCTGAGGATTGGGGTTTACAGCCAGCCCAGGAAGAAAGTTGTGGAGACTCTGACGTCCAATTAACCAGCAAAAAAGACAGAAATAAGGGTTGGGAATGTGGCTTAGTGGTCCAGTGCTTACCTAGCATGCATGAAGCCCTAGGTTCGATTCCTCAGTACCACATAAACAGAAAAATCTGGAAGTGGCACCGTGGCTCAAGTGGTAGAGTGCGAGCCTTGAGCAAAAAGCTCAGGAACAGTGCTTAGGCCCTGAGTTCAAGCCACAGAACTCCAGAATGCTTGGCCACAATAATTCTGAGCTTCCACACCTAAAAAAAAAAAAAAAAGATAGAACTAGAAATGTGGCTAAAGTGGTAGAGCACCAGCTTTGAGCAAAAGAACTCAGCACTCCGGCCCTGAGTTTCAAGCCTTAGTACCAGCGCGCGCACACACACACACACACACACACACACACACGTTAAATTCATATAAGACTTGCTGGGCTTCTCTGGACCTTTAAAATGCTCATGTGCTTTGCAGATTTTCAAAAAGAGAACAAATTGGCCAAGCTGCTACTCTCCCGCCCCTACCCCACCATCAAAGCACTTCAGGCTACAGAGCAAAGTTTAGACAGCATCCTTTTCATTGGGAAAGGTAGAGCTGGCAAAGGGGCAACTGTAGCAAGCTGGGGTTTCCTTCATGTACCCTGTGGTGAGCGGGGTAGAGATAAACTGTGGCCATACCCTTACTCGCTATGGAACTTGGAAGAATGAGTGGCACCTTATTTATTTGGTGTCTTGTTTTCCTGAAAGAGGGAAAAGAATGGGTTTTCAGTGAGGACCTCGCCTGCTGATTCAGTATAGGGGGCTCTGGTTCGTCTCGCCACTGATTAAAGAATAAAACGCAGAAAACCCGGGCACTGATGGCTCACACTTGTAATCCTAGCTACTTAAGAGGCTGAGATCTGAAGATGGAAGTTCAAAGCCAGCCTGGGCAGGAAAGTCTGTTGAGACTCTCATATTGCCAATAAACCACCAAAAGGCCAGAAGGGGAGCTACGGCTCAAGTGGTAGAGCAGTAGCTTGAACAAAGAAGCTCAGTGACAGAACCCAGACCCCGAGTTCAAGCCCCAGGATCAGCACATACATTCACGCATGCGTGCATGTACACACACACACACACACACACACACGGCAGGAGAGCTTTCGAAGCCATCAGCAGGTTTATTTGAAAGCAAAAGTATAGACTCCATAGAGTGGGCCTGCGCTGGGAGGGTGCTTACAACAGTCCATACCTTCTCCTAGGGTTTGCGCTGATTGATGATGGCGCGTGTGTGTGCTGTCGTAGCTCTTTCCGTTGACTGTGCCAGAACCCAGGGCATTATGGGAAGAGGCGGTATTGGAGCGGGAGCCCGGGGCATTATGGGAAGAGGCGGTATTGGAGCGGGAGCCCGGGGCATTATGGGAAGAGGCAGTATTGGAGCGGGAACCCGGGGCATTATGGGAAGAAGCAGCTTTGAAGTCGGAACCCAGAGCATTGTGGGAAACAGCAGCATTGGAGCCAGCACCCACAGCATTATGGGAAGCAGCTTTGAAGCGGGAACCCAGGGCATTGTGGGAAGAAGCAGCTTTGAAGCGGGAACCCGGGGCATTGTGGGAAGAAGCAGCTTTGAAGCGGGAACCCGGGGCATTGTGGGAAGAAGCAGCTTTGAAGCGGGAACCCGGGGCATTGTGGGAAGAAGCAGTACTGAAGCGGGAACCCGGGGCATTGTGGGAAGAAGCAGTACTGAAGCGGGAGCCCAGAGCATTATGGGGAGAAGAAGCACCCTCACGGACCATATGGTACCTGTCACAGGTGTGTCCGCCATTTTCCATCTCTACCTAACCAAGGAAGCCTAACTCCTCCCTCATTGGGAGCAGGAATCTTGAAGAGCCCCTGAGCCCTGGGCTTGTTGTGATGCCCCCACCTTGGGGCTGGGGCCCGGGGTTAGGGTGGCCGGAGCTGAGGGTGAAGTGGGGCACAGGGACCGCGGACCGGGTGTTTTGTGCTAGGAGGGCGGACTGCTTAGCCACAATAACGCTGAGCTTCCATACTGAAAGCCTCAAGCCACGGAAGGAGCTATGGAGGGGTAGGGGAGCCTCGAGGGCGTTGGGTCACAAGGACATGTGTGGTGGCAGATCCTGTGCCCTGAAGGTTGGTGGCTCTGCAAGTGTAGAAGCCAGAATCCCCGGCCCGAGGCTCTTCCACATACAAGGTGCTCTCCGCCTCCCGCTGCACCTGGCCCTCCCTGTGGACCACAGCAACCCGCTCGCTGGTGTACGGGGGTCGGCCCTGCTGCAGGGAACAAGAAGGAACTGTTAGTGGGCCCAGGTGCCATCTCTCAAGTACCAGTCAGCAGGCAAGAGGTACTCAGTACCCCTTCAGAGAAAGGGATACACTGTATGTCAGACCCATCTTAAAGCCTTCAAGCTTCACAAGCCCCTTCTATTCAAGAAATATTGGGTTAGGGGAAGAGTGGGAATGTGGCTTAGTGGTAGAGTGCTTGCCTAGCATGCATGAAGTGCTGGGTTCAATTCCTCTGTACCACGTATACACAAAAAGCTGGAAGTGGCGCTGTGGCTCAAGTGGTAGAGTGCTAGCCTTGAGCAAAAGAAGCTCAGGGACAGTGCCTAGGCCCCGAGTTCAAGCCCCAGGACTGGACCAAAAAAAAAAAAAAAGAAAGAAAGAAATATAGGCTCACACGTATAATCCTAGCTACTCAGGAGACTGAGATCTGCTTATGTGGTGCTGAAGAATTGAACCCAGGGCCTCATGCATGCTAGGCAAGCACTCTACCACTGAGCCACCTTCCCAGTCCCCTTGAGATCTGAAGTTTAAAGCCAGTGAGAGCAGATAAATCCAACCAATTCTTACCTCCAATGAGCCAAGAGGTGTGGCTTAAGCCAGCCTTCAGAGACAAAGTCAAGTGAGAACTTGAGGTCCTAAGTTCAAGTATTGGTGCACACACAAAGAGGCTCCAAGTCAAGTGCTGGTGGCTCATGCTTGTAATCCTAGCTACTCAGGAGATCTGAGGTTCAAAGCCAGCCCCAGCAGGAAAGGCTGTGGGATTTTTTTTAATCTCCAATTAACCACCAGAAAACCCGAAGTGGTGCTGTGGCTCAATGTGGTAGAGCACCAACCTTGAGTGAAAAACAGGGATAAACACCCAGTCCCATGACCAACAAAGACCAGGATCAACAAAAGAAGAAGAAAAAGAGCAGGAGGAGGAAGAGGAAGGTGGGGGGTGGGGGGAGGAGAAGGAAGAGTTCCAGAGGTAATGGCTCAGAACAGCATTTCCTGGTTTGTGGGAATGTCATTAAATGCTACAACCCCAAAGGAGTTTAAGTATGGACTCCATTATTAGAAATGCTTGGAAAATACATCATAGATGGGAAATACACAGGAGATGGGAAGCAGACTCTAGGTGTTCAGTTAGCATGCATGTTTTGACTCCCGTGGGTGGTGCTTCTTATAGGAGTGTTTTCCCAAGTATATACTTTTGGGTAATGGAGCAGGATGGGAGAGAATCTTTGGATATTTTTTTTTCGGTCATGAACTCTGGGCCTGGGCACTGTCCCTCAGCTCTTCAGATCAAGGCTAGTGCTCTACCACTTGAGCTACAGCACCACTTCAGGCTTTTTCTGCTTCTGTGGTGCTGAGGAATCGAACCCAGGTCCTCATGCATGCGAGGCAAGCACTCTACCACTGAGCCATCTTCCCAGCCAGAACCTTTGGATATTCTGCCACTCTCAGGCATGTGCTAGAGGAACAGGCAACTTAGCCAGCACATCATCTTGGTATGTTTCTCCTTATTCCTCATTTTTCTGACAAGTGGGAGGATGATCCTCCACACTTTCTGCCTCCTACAGCCTCATCTCTCTATGTCTTGGCTGGGCCATGACTGGGCCAGTCACTGCATGGATCAGCTTGGGGAGTTCATGATGCACTTGGCTGGCTCACAGAGGGTACAAGCCATGCCCCCTTTTGACTCATTACTTTAGTTTCAGCACCAACTACAGT